CCGCGGCGGTAGCGGGGCTGACGACGGGCTGTGCCCGCTGGCTGCAGCAGCAGGAGCAGGATCAGGGCTTCCCCCAGCACAGCCTGCAGCAGTCTGCCCTGGCTGGATTTGGCCCGCTGTGCTCTGCAGCCTCAGTGGCCAAGCTGTGCCCTGGGAGGGCGAGCACGGCTTCCCTCTCTGCTGGGCTCTCCTCCTTTCAGCACCCGGAGCGATGACAGCTCGGCATGGATCGGCAAGAGTAAGGCGAATGATGCTGGTTCCCATTAAACGAGCTCTGGGGGAGGGGACAGTGTTTTCCAGTACCGTTTGGTAGCTGATAATGTTTATCTTATGGCTTTAAAAATAAATGGTGTTGGGAGGAATCGCATGGTGTTTGTTTACTGCATCTCTAGGACATGGTGATGTTTGCGTTTGATACTCTGTGTCTTACGAACCTGAAAAACTGGAGTCGTTTGAAGATTATGTAAAAATAAAGGTGCAGATACCCTTTAAAAAGAGTAATAATGGGACCAGGCATTCAAGAATATCCCTTATTACTGCACAGAGAGACACAGAAAAAGGAAAGCCAAATCAATGAAAACCACAAAGGAATGGTAAAGTAAGGAAATTATTTTCTCTCTTTCTAGTGACAGAAATCGCTGAGTACTGTGGAGCAGTTAATAAGTGCATGGCTGTACTGTTCAGATTCTCATCCTCTCCTCTGATCTGCTGCAACAGAAATGATTGTGCAGTATGATCGTGCAGGTCACAAAGTGATGGAGATGACTGCATCAATGCTGGGGGCACAGGACATTTTCATTCTTTTATAAGATCTTGAATTGGTGAAATCATGTTTTTTTTAACACAAAATCTAACTATACTGACATAAAAACTGAGACCAAGATGTACAGCCTGACAAATTAGCTGAACTGCAGTCAAACTAGGTTAGACCAGGAGGGCACGCTTTGCTTACTCCTGTTCTAAAATGACATTATAAAGCTTTCCTTTTTAAAATTAGTAATATTTCTTGTTTGTAGAACACTGTTTTCTGATTCTCACAGAAGACATTGATTTAATGATTCTGTGTGCTTACACAGAAATGTATCTGATTTAATTGAGGAAATATGCATTTTAGTTTTAAGCTCTCCAGGGAAATGTATCTGATTTAATTGAGGAAATATGCGTTTTAGTTTTAAGCTCTCCAGATCAGTAATGCCATTCCTTTTGCTTGCTTATGAGTTTTTCTCCTCCTAATATTTCCACAACCCCAGTATAACATGAAATGGTGTTTTTTGTTTGTGCTTTTGTTGTGAAATATTTTGTATTAATATCAGCATAGACTGTATGCTCCCAGCTCACTTCCACTCCTTAACTTAATGGGAATATACTTTTAAATTTTGTTGAGAGTATGCAAATAAGAAAGACAAGAAAAATCTGGCTTGCAGTGGCCTTCATATTGCACTTTATAATTAATTTTGTTAAATTGCAGTAGGGCCATATACCAGGTACTATAGAAATTAATAGTTAAATATGTAGTCTCTAATAGTTACTATTTATTATCCCCAAAGTAACTTTGGGATCCTCTGATAGAGGATTCTATGTAAGAGCCAAGTTCTATTATTATATAAGCTGATTGAATTATTCACTGACTGTGACACAGTTCTGATGAACTTTAAGTCTAAGAATAGTTGCAATCAACTCTCTCTCTTTAAACTGAATTGCACTCTAAACTTCTATTGTATTAAATATATACAATTCATCATTCTGATTATTGTATATGTTGCTATTTATATGTGCTATTCTGTTTAATCCTTGCTAGTTACCGTAATGGAAAAAGCCATCCGAGCACCAAAGGACTAAATAAACCAATTTCTCATGTGAAATCTTCTCCTGGAGGATTAGGCAAAAATGTATCAAGTGCCATTGAAAAGGTAAATAATTCTTTTTTGTTGTTGTTTTTTACAGCAAAAGGGTACTTAGTTTATGTCAGTTCCTTAATAACTTCACATACTTTCCTATCTTTTCAGACCTCCCATGACACTCAAGATGGTAACCCACCAAGCATTTTTAAGAAGGGAAGAAACCAGCTGAATGACAATCCTCAACCGAAAAGGTAAATTTATCTTAAGGTTGTCTGTTTAATTTGTAGATGTTTCAAACTGGTATAGAAAATGCTTGTGATGAGATCATGGCTTCTTTATTTTGCCTTTGACTTAACTGGTCCCAGAATTCTGCATTTATGAGGGCAACAAATTTAAGTTATCAATATGGAAACTTAGTGAGTTCTTGGGCAAAATCAGAATAAAATAAAACAAAAAAAGCAGTAGTAGGCAGTGTTATCTCTGCCAAAAAAATATTAATTTTACCTCATTACTAAGTGTCCACACCAATTTAAGCTTCATTCATGTAGATCCATGTCCTTGAAGGACGTAGCAAGACCTTTGTAAACTGTTGTTCCAAAGATATTAATCATTCTAACAGGATATGATCTGTCTTTTTGTTTAGGATCACGAGTGTTTGCACATCACTGCACACAGTACAAGGACCAAAGAGGAGTCTCCCAGAAAGAAGGCAAAATGAATCCTTTCTGCACAGGATCCCTCCTAGTATAAAGGGCAGCACACAAGGTAGCTTCTGTAGGGTTAAAGATGTCCCAATGCAACATTTTTATTGCAGTAGAAAAGAACAGTTGGAAGAGAATCATGAAGAGCATGTTTCTGAAGCTGGTCCATGCTCTTCTAAATGGCAAGAAGCATCTGTAGATGAAATGTTTCTTGATTTTGAATCAGTACAAATTATTAAAAAAGATGCCGAAGATGATAGTGCCAGTGATCTCTCTGATTCAGAAAGGATTCCCATTCCCCCGTCTCCCTGCACACCACCAGAACTCATTCTCAGAGCTGAAGAAATTGATCCAGTTTGTTTGGAATATGTCCCAGATACGGGTTTTAAAGAATCAGAATATTACTACCCAGACTTCCTCCCACCCCCTTTCAACTCATGGGACTTGAAGCAACTGGCCATCTTTGTTCATGTAGAGGGTAAAACTGAATTTCGACCAAAGCCAACAGGATTTCTAGAGAAGTACATTGATCGCCTTTTGCAGCTGGAATGGCTGCAAATGCAGACTGTACAGAATGAGAAAGGAAAGGCAGCCAAAGCCAGGCCACAGACTGCTCCCAGCTCCATCCGGACCCTAAAAAGCCCTGGCAAAGGTAAAGCATTGCTCAGCCCTTTGCCCAGCAAGCACGTGGTTCCCCATGAAAGCGTTACAAAGCTGCCTAGAAGCTGTTCAGGTCACAGGGGAGATCCATACTGTGAAGAAAGTCACCGGTTACATTCTCATCCAGGTCACTTGAAACTTTCTGAGAGAATGGGATGTGCACTGTCTTCTCAGAGACAATCTGGTGAAGTAAGGAGTGAACTGAAAAAAAAACCAACTACAAAGCCACAGCTCCTCAATATGCAGCCCTCTGAGAACGGTTCTAAAATTCAAAGTGTTGGTAATATCAGACCCCCTAAACAAACCCCAGTATTTCATGGTTCAGCTGCTCCCATCAAAGGCTTAAAAACATACGTGTGTACAAATCCAAAGAAAAATGGTAATGCCAACAATTGTGTTCCTTCTAAAAAACCAGCAGGGGACAGGAAAATAAAAACAAATGGCACAAAGCAAACATCACACAATTTTAAATGAAGAACAATTCATTAGTAAATGTTGATGCTTCTTGACTGCTAGAAAGCATTTGGCCAATGCAGAAGGGTCATGTTTTCTTCATAGGAAGATCTGGGAAAATATGTTCTTGATGCATGGGTCTAGGTCAGCACTGTTCATTTCAATACATTTGATCTTATACCAGCAAGGCCAGCAGGAAATCTTTTCCCTGAAGGCAAGTGTCTTCCATTGGTCTTTCCTCAAAAATATTTACAATTGCTCAATGAAGTTAACAACAGCAGAGTATAAAAGTTTAGAGAAATATATAATTATAACATGACCTCCTATTTGCACCAGTTGAAGTCCATTGAAGCCTGTGGTGTTTGTTACTACCTGGGTGTATTTGAGAGAACAGGATCCATGCTCTTTTTTTGAACAGATGTGCTATTTTGTGAGACAGGTTGGATGGTGTTTTCTGATGGAAAAGGGGCTCAACTGTTTTTATAAAATAATGGAGCATGCTTATCTATGCAAAGTCAAACTAATTTTTCACAGAAGATGATGAATTGGATTTTTTTTGATGAATTAGATATTTTTTGATAAGAAGAAGAATGGAGATAATGTTTTGAAATATTTTAATGCAGAAAGGATTCTTTTTAAGATAAAAAAATATTAGGGAGCAGACAGCTTCAATAGATTAAGAAAATGGATGCGTATTTTTATACCCAGAAATCTTCACTGTGTTTATAGACAACTTTCCTTGAAGTTCATTTTGTAAGCCTTGATGCTTTTTGTCATTTAGAGGAAATGACAAAATTTAAAATTGCACTTGGATATTTACCATTAATGCAAAATGAGGTTATTACTAGAGACTCTGTGGCCTGATTTTCAGAATCAGTATCCTCTCAAAACATAAAAATAGACTCTTAGGGCATGAATTTAAAGGCTATTGTAAGTTCAAGAAAAGGTATTTTGATTAAAAACAAAATATATATATTTTCATCACCTGAGATGACTATTATTTATCCCATGGTCCAGTCTACTTCAGTTAGTTTGGTTTCTTGTTTCAAGGTTTAGTGAAGTGACAGGGGAAAATACCTGACAGAAAGAAATTAAAGAAATTGTACAACCAGGATTGGGTCCTGTCCTTGGACCCTCTGTTTTCTCTTGTGTCTATAAGATACAAGAGAATATGAAGGAGAGTTCACTGAGTGTTCAAGTGTCAGTTCAGGTGTTAACGATTTCAAATCAATCACAGCAGCTGGGGACACGACCTTGCTAAAGCTGAAGTTCTAGAGGATGTTTTGTACTTTCATTATAAAATGAAATACTGAGCAGCATTAACTTCATCATCAGCCACCAGTCACAGTGAACTGCTTATGAGAAGTATGCTGAGGTCTGATGGACCAGAATTTACAAGTGGATCCTTCATGTTGTGATAGAAAATTAAAAAGTAGCAAATACTAAAGAGTACATTATGTATATAATTAAATTGCACTTCTCTTGTTGATCTCATCTTGGTTTTAAGATGCTTAGCTGTTTCTACTCTTTCGTTGTCCCTATCAGATCTTCAGCTTTGTAAATTTTCAAAGCATGGATTTATACGTAGTTTAAAATGTGAGAATATTAATAAATGTAGTAATAAACTAGAGTATTTTACAGTACATAAAAACATTGCTCAGGAATAGTCTAGTAAATATTTTTAGTGGTTTTTTTTTCCTAGTCTACTGAAGACCAAATGTGATATTTTAAATTGATAAAGGAAACAAATGTAATATACAATATTATATTTCCATATTCAGTATTTGTGAGGTTACAGTTAAAATGAATTGTAGTTGCATGTACATTCAGCTCTATGCAATTAAAGTGAAATTTAATCTGACATGCTCAAAGATCAAATAAATTGGCTGTGTCAGAGGTGTGGTGAAACTTTTGAGGATGGCATTGAACACCAGCAACTGCAGAGGACCAGCACATTCTATTGTTGCTATTTCATCCTTTTGTTTTATTCCAGACTCATCATGTATTTCAGCTTTATTTAGATGAAAGGTTCTTGCATCCAGTGCTAGTATTTCAAGCTCTGAACAAATTCTACAAGCCTTCATTAATCAAGTTTTCCTGATTCACATTAACAGTATTAACAGTTCGTAGGAGTGCTCTTGCCAATAAGCGCCACTTCAGTGCACTATTTAGTTCCCTGTTTCAGTGTACTGTTATAAACACCAAAAACAAGGTGAGCAGGATTAAGTCAATAATCAGAATAACAGTTTTTTTAAACAAATTCTTTTAGTTGCAGTAATTAATTTAGCGTATTATAGCACAGAGTATTAGTGTATGCTAAATTTTCCTCTGAAATATTACTCTATATTGATGCTTTCTTAGGTTACAAGGAGGGCACGTAGATACAGATGCATTTTGCATGGTCACTTCTTAAAGAATAAATAAATAGTGTTTCAGTCAGCTTTGACCAGAGCAAAGGTGATTGGCACTGAGAAAAGTTTTTTCTCAGAGACCTTGGAAAGTTTAGTTTTAACGTAGTGCCTGTGATCTGATGGACCTGAATGCAATGGACCTTTTTTTTTAACTAAAAAGTTAAGCAAGTAGAGGTGGTGATGCCACTTAAAATGAGTCTGAATACTTGCTCATCATTAAGCTCTGGGTGTGATCTGGTCAAGTTTGTCTTGCACGATAATCACATAAGACTAATTTTTGTTCATTGATTTGATACTTTTTGCACAGTTGTCTTTGTTCACATACAGAAACAGAAATTCTATGTTTGCTTCAACAAACAGTTCTCAGCATAAGCAGACCTGCAAGCGTTGGATTTTATCCGGCAGCACTTTTGCTTCCATTTTAACTTGACTATGTTCTAGATAAAAAGAGTTCCTTTTATGAAGAGGACTATGGTTTATGTTTCCTTCGTTTTGTATTGATGGATATTGTCTTTAAAAGCACTTCTGAATATAGCAGAAAAGTTTATTCCATCAAATAAATTCAGTTTGGAATTAAAATACTTCCACAGCACAGTGTTTGTGTGGCTTTTTATATTTTTTCAGTATGTTTAGCAATATGATTGTGTGTGTGTCTAAGCCTATCATTGATGATGCTTCTTGAAGAACAAGTTTACTGTGATGTGAAATATTTAAACAGTGATTATTTTTTTTCTAGATAATTTAAAGGTTTAATGTTATGCAGTACTACCTACAAAACAGATACACTCAGGTTGCATTTTAAATAAATAGCCAGATTCTACTTCAGTTATACTAGTATAAACCTTGAACAACTCTGTTGTTTTCAGTGAAATTACCCTGTTACAAAGACATGAAGAAACAGAATTTTACTCCAATATGTATAAACTGTTTTTCTTAGTAATGCTATACTGTATTTTTAATGCATAACATGAAGAGTTTTAAAACAATATTGTTTTTCTCTTGACATGTTTCTTTTTTCTCCATTACTTGCATCTCTGCAGTAAAATACTGTGGTTAAAGTTTTACAACCCCTCCTCACCTCATGGTAGCTCTCAGTTCTGTACAGCAGTTCTGCAGTTGCTGGAGGCTGCCCCCAGATCCCCATTCTGTCAGCAGTACAGTATCGAGCTTCTGCAGTTACCCACTCAGAATTTACGCTCCAGTGAGGGGTTATCGCTGTGTGAGCAGTGTGTAGCATTCTGGGAAGAGGGGCTTCACATCTTCCTCAAGTGGAAGAGCCTTGCAAGGAAGACTCCAATCAATCCCTACTGCTGGCTCAGTATCCTAAATCATGGGGCTTTGTTAAGGCTGATAAAGTGGACTGTATTTTTCTTTCCAAATGAGAGATTACATTTGCTGGTGTGAATTCAGGATCATGGGGTGATAGTACTTCTCACAGAGGCAAAAAGGCTCAGCATTATTCTTTCTGAGAAAGTTGAGTTTAGAGCAACAGGTTTGCCAGAAGTAGGGAGCTCTCATCTCCCACCGATGCCTGTCCCAGGATGCTGTGACCATAGCTCCCAGCCCTACCTCCTGTGTGCTGCCAGTGCCCAAGCTGATGGCAGAGGGGTATGAAGCTGCACAGGATGGTTGTGCTTATTGCATTGGGCTAAACTGGCTTGTTTGGCTCCAGACTGTTTAATTATGCCATAATCCCATTAGTGCTTGTGTCCTTTCTGTGTTTCATTTCTTGTTGGAGGTAAATTTTATTTTGTATTTGCTATTTCAAGGATCTTGTTAGAAGTCTGAGAATATTTTGACAGGTTTTTTCTGCCAGTATGTGGTACCTTTTTTGGAGCTGATATTATAGTTGAAATTTCTACAGTATGAAATTGCCTATAATGTACGATTTTTTTGCCTTATTTTAAAGGTAATGAGCCTTTGTTGTTTCTATTTGCATTAGTGAATTTTCTTCTGAAAAATAATTAAACAGACCACTATATATGGGCAGACTGGAACTCGATTAACTGAGAATTTGCAGCCCAGCTTTTGATGTTGATAATCATGTGTTCTTGTTTATTTGAACTTTTTGTGGATATTTTTGCTAGTAATTTCATTGGAAAGTGATCTTGTAATTCAAAGTTACTGTATATTTGCTATATTAAAAGTGAGATACTGCCTTTTTTGTTACTTAGTTGTATTTTTTTCATCAGCCACAAGATGGCATCTCTGAATTTTTCTTTTAAAGAGTTTCTTTACTGCAGTGTAGGACAGAGTTTGTAGCTGGGCATATCTCAGCTGTACTGCTGCTGATGGCCGAGCTACCTAGTTAAAGCTGTATGATTATTTCTACTCCACATGACAGTCATTTCTCTAATGGCTGTGTTAAGGCATCATAATAGGTGAAAATAATGGGAAAAACTTCATCATATTAATACATTTAAAAAAAAAAATGCACTAATGGTTTCACATTTTCTGTTATAATCTCCAGAACACTTAGAGCATGATCCAAAGAACAGCAAAGACGTGTGTAGATGCTTGCAGAGATCCACATTCTCGTGTTGCTAGTATACACGGAGAAGTATGTTTAACTTAATTTCACACACTGCATGTTCATATGTTCATCTGAGACTAATCAAAAGGAAAATGGAGAGAGATTCAAAGGAAAAAACATGGCGTTTCCTATTGCTGAAAATCCCTTTGCTTTGCTATTCCTGTAATCTTTATATTAAGCATTACAGAACTCCTCTGTGAGATATCACACAAGAATTTTACGATGAGAACTTTCTTGCTGTTTGAGGTTTTCCTGAACCACCCTATACTGTGCTGTTATTTAAACCTGTAACTTTTTATCCTCTTAACAGTGAACTCAGAAGATCATCTGCCTGCCTTCCTCCCCACACCCACTTTTATTTAAAACGTTGTGACCTATTTGCCATGATCTACTGCTTTTCTTCTCCCCTGAACACAAGATCAGTTCTTCCCTAAGTCTTCCTTTCACAACTTCCAGAACCCTAAATTCATTATTTTCCAGTTCTCAAAAAGAATAAACCTCCTTGTGCCCAGTAAAAGTAATACAGGAAAATGGAAAATGCTGTAAAAGCTGTTTTCATAGAAGCCAGGACCTTCCCCATACTCTCTGCCACTCAGTCTTCTTTTTACATGGTTTTACAAGACTTAATTTTTCATTTCCTGCTTCTTTATGTAGTTTTATTTAAAATGTATTTTTTATAAGCTGAGTGGGAAGTTCAGCTTCAGGTGTACAATTTCATACTTGCTTGATGGCTTTTGGGTTGAACAGGACAATCTAGTGTTGTTATATCAGCTTTCAAGTAAGCTTTCACAGAACTTGTTCTTGGTTCAAAGTCTGAAGTATTATCAAAGTAGCCCTCCTGGGCATGGCAGATAAAATCAGCTGCCATTAATGTTGCATGTTTGAATTATTGTAAACAACTGTGAAATTATTAGGAAATAGCATTTCCAAGTAACAGTCAAGGAAGGCCATGTGTTTTATACTAGCTGTATAATGGTCATAAAAGTGAGGTAATGGCACATTTGTTTTGCATAAAACTGGAAGTGGCAGCTGCCAGCTGACTGAAAAAAACCCAACCCACTAAAGGAGGATTGAGCTTTGCTTTGAGCCATTTCAGTTATTCAGAATTAACAGGCCCTTTTTTTTATTATTCTTTTGTCTGACGAGGCGGAAATATTCCCCTGTCCTCTGGGACAGCTCAACTGCCGGTGGCACGGCAGGTAACTACTTAGTGAGAAGAATTTGGACAGTCACAAGTCATTGTCTCAACTTCCAAGGAAGAACTTGGGCAGCTGCAGCTCCCTGGGCGGCCCCGCTCGGCTCGGCTGCCCGTGCCCCATGGAGTTACTTGCCACGCTGCTGATTCTCTTGCAGGTGGGTGCGGGATGGGGACGCGGGCTCGGGCCGTACGGAGGCTGTTGTGTGTCCCCACGAGGTGCCAAGGGAAAGGGTGGCTGCTCTGTGCCCTGGTCCCGGGTTCAGGGGTCCTGGAAGGGGGTTTTCAGGAGCGGGAGCCCCCTTCTCCTGCTGTGGATACCAGGGTGTTGGTGCTGGCAGAGACACTGGTGCCTCACCTTGACTCTTCTGGATTAATGATCCCCTGCCGTAATGCAGCAGCATTTTCATGAGTGTTTCTGTGGGGCTCGTGGGCCTGAACTGGGTTGTTCCTTTCTAGCAGTGACAATGTCTGGAACCGATACGGCAATGACCCGAGACATTGCTGTGTAGCTGCTGCACATGGAGGAGTGTGAAAGCCATAAAATACACAATTAAAGCTTCCACTATAATTACAAGTGCCTACACACACTCCAAGGGGAAAGCAGCTTGGTCCGGGGAGTCCAGCACTGACAAACCCGGCTGGCAGAGCTGAACCTGGAACAAAGGTGGTAACTGCCAGGGCCAAGTGAAAGCCTCCCTTGCTGTTTTTACATCAGAGAGGTTTTCCCCAGGTCATACAGCAGCTTTATGGAACACTTCCAAGGCATTACTGGTGAGCCCTCATTGCTCAGCGAGTTTATAACCATGGCAATTTTGAAAGTATTGTTTTTCTTCAGAAAAAGGTTGCTAGGCAAAGGCCTGAACTTTGCCCAAGTTTGGACAGGAAGAGCTCTGTTTTTTTTTTAAATGCCAGTGGAGATACTTGATGGAATGAGTCATGAACCCCCAAGCTTTCCAGTGGAAGCAGGGGGAATGAGGAAGGTGTACAAGTTACCTGTGAGCTAACAGCAAGAGTGAAACTTGAGTACTGTCACACTCCTTTGTGCTGAAAGATTTCAAGTAAAAAGCAGTGTTTGAAGCCAGTGCAGCAAGCTTGTGCTTATAAAAGGGCAAATCCTGCCAATTAGGGTGCAGTCACCATTCTCAACAATTTATTTTACTCATCTGGAGTAGAGACTTTGGTCCAGTGTTCATCTTCTGCTAAATCAGCTATGTTTGGGACCCTTAGAGTCACACAACAGAGTTTCTGAGAACCTGAGACACTCCCCAGATGTAACTTTTTCCAGTAGTAGATTTATGTCCTATCAATACCAGACAACTTCTAAAGGAACATTAGACACAGAGAGACAGAGGTGAATACTTTAAAAACTGGAGATACTTGGTTTGGGAAAAGCCATAGAGATAATACCATGGACTGTTAGATGCAGTGTTTGTATGTTTCTGGGACTGGCATCATTTGACCAGAGAAATTAGTATCCAAACTCTCATGCCAATTCATTTGGAATGGGATGGATTATATTTGTGGAGTTTCCAGGGTTAGATACAATTTCATAGAGTGCTGTCAAAACTGAATCAATATGTTTTTGTGAAGCCAATTTCTATGACTATTTCTATGTTTCCTAGAACACATATCAATGGTTTCTAGTTAACCACACTTCTCACAATCACTTTTTTTTCCACAAGGTTACTGCTGCCAACAGTTTTTCTCACAAAATTGAAAACTCCATTTTAACACAAGCCATCCGAAAGAAGAGTACTCAGGTTTGTAGTCAATATTAAATAATAACAGAGACACAACTGTTACTATGTAAACTATGACACTAAATACACTTTTTTATTCAATAGTGGATAGATTCTTATCAATTAGACAGCCTACGTCCTCTACAGCGTACTAAAAGGACCTGGGTTATCACCACCATTGATATCCAAGAGGAGGACAAAGGACCATTCCCAAAATATGCTGGACAGGTACAAACAACCTTTTAGTAGAAGTCCTTCTTGAACTTCAGCAAGGTATTCATCACCACAGATTGTGCAATAAAATACCAAAGGCAAGAGAGGACAAGAATTGCACATCAAACAACACCTTTTAAAAAAGAACTTATTTGTTTAAAGTTGTCTTATTTACACAGAGTTGGGCAGAACTGTGTGGTGTGGGGAATACATTGCTCCTTTCTAGGGGAAGCTGCAGGCATACTCAGGGAAAAGAAGACTATAGGGTGGGAGAAGTGAGAGAGTCATTCCACAGAGCTGTGTACCTGCACTTTGTGCAGAGAGTAGTGATGCTGCAGCCCAGGAAGATGTTGAGTTGGCTGAGACTAAGCCTGCAAGCAAGGCCCCATCTGCAAAGAAAGTTGGGTAGCAAGAAAATTGGTCTAAAGTCTTTTTATTTCTGTCTTGTCTACCCTACTTACTTGTGCTACTTCTCTTTTCAAAAGCTGTTCAATAACAAATCATTTAATACATCAGTAAAATATTTAATCAGTGGACCTGGGGTAGATCAACCTCCAGAGATTGGATTATTTTCTATAGAAGACGATGCAAATGGACACGTGTATGTACATCGTACCATCGACAGGGAAAAGACCCCAGCTTTTCAGGTAACACACTTTAAAAAAATAATTAAAACTGTTTGCAAATATTGATTGCTTTCTCATGGCTAAATGCTTTACAAGAATGAGACATACCTATAAGAATTTTAAGTGTGTATTTTTATGACCTCCTTTTCTTATTTAGAACCTCTAAATGAATGTTAGATGATTATCTCAGCAGAGATAGGGTAACTTCCACATCACTATCTGTTATAAACCTTTGTGGCATGTTTGGATGTCCACAAATAGCTGTACACTACTTTTCTATCTTATATTTGCTATGATCTTTGATCATAATCTAAAAAATTAAAAGATTGTCCTGAAATTCAAAGTATGTTTCAGCTATAGTGGTCAGAACACTGAGTTATAAACCCAAAATCTCCTAATCAAGAGAATGGAAGCAAATAGTTATGCATTACCAAAAAAAAGAAAAAAAAGAAGATAATACTGAAGGAGCTGCAAAGCTGTTATTACAGTAACTTTACATAAGAGTAAGCATATGTTTCTCCTTAAAAAGCAGAAAAGTGTTAATAAGCAATAAGTGTAACAGAAGAAATGTGATAACAAGTGTATGAACGAAATATGTGAGTGTGGGTTTGTTTTCCTCTTGCAAAAAATCTTCAGTTGTGGTCTCCTTATGTTTATTCTGTGGTGATTTCTATTTGTGTCTCGGTGGGTTAACTGTACCCAGCTGATAGTTACTGTTCCGTGTGGCTTTCTGTGCAAGGTCTTGCCCTCCGTAATGAAAGGATAAATTCTGGACAGCTTTCTATTCCCTCTCCCTGGACACATGGCTGTTCCAGGGCAGACACTCTGGACTTGGTTTTAAAGCAGAAATAAGTGTAGCAAAGGAGAATTCAGCATTCAGAATTGAATCCTCTGCACGTTCAGGGATATGAAGCCAAAACATAATAGAAATGCAGCTGGAGAAAACTGAATGAACTACTCAAATAAACACTTCAGAACTGGGAAGCACATGTGGAAGCATTCTTATGTCTGGCCCCAAGGGTATTTATGTATTTTATATTAGACAATCATTTCAAACAACCCAGATCCAGCTCCAGGTACTGGGTTTTTTTTAAAGTACTGTTAAATGCACAGGGTGACCATTATGAATCTAATACCTTTGAAAAGCGAAATAATGACTTACTGATGCAACTCAAAGCCAAATGCTAGCCATACATGACTGAAGCAGCTTCAAAATTGAAAGTTTATTGCTCCATTCTGATATCTAAATGATACTACTCATTCCATTCTGCTATCTCTGTCGTTACTCATTTAGATACGTTTCGATATTGTGTACAGAAAAACTGGTGAACCGTTGGACCGCCCTTTATTTTTCATGATAAAGGTTAAAGATATTAATGACAATGCACCAGAATTTCCCAAGGAGGAATATAGCGTTACAATAAGAGAGAACCACAGTAAAAGTAAGTGCCATCTGAACAAGGGATACTGCTGATTTGTGTATGACTGCTGTCTTTTTAATTCCTTTGTCTTTCTTTTTCCTTTCTTACTAAATCTGTTCTTCTCCCCAGGTTTTACCTAAACACTCATAGGTTTAGGGACTATTTCCTCTGAAGGACTATTTCCTGCCTCTTCTTGTTTGCTTAACCTCCACCTATATTAGCATAATATTAAAGACATTCTGGAAAAACTCCTAAGATATTTCTTCTTACTACAAGCCAAGACTTTAACAGACTAATCTGAACCGTGGGTCTGGAACCTGCACATGCATATTGCTTTGCAGAAGATGGTTAGACACACTGTTTTAGAATTACAAAGACTTAATCTGGGTTGTGTAGACATGGGGGCATGGTGCCAACTCCTCTGTCTGAGAAGCTGGCATAACTAATTAGTGAATGTTTTTGATAAATTAAATTCAGGAGTGTGATAGGTCTCTCTGTTGTCTAACAGTGCTTTAGGCAGATTTTTTACCCAAATGAGGTGGAGGCCAGAGTCTATGCAGGGAAAACCATAGCCACAGGAGAATTTATGGGTGTTCATAGGACTTGTGTGTCCAAGAACCTGAAGACAGGCCCGAGAAACTCCATGTCAAGACGAAACACTTTTATTAATGTCTCAATTCTTCATCCTAGATGAGCCAGTTTTCCAAGTTACTGCTGTGGACAAAGATGAAGATGGCACTGTGAATTCTCAGGTGTCCTATTCTCTAAGTATGCAAATGCCCCGTACAGATGGGTTCACATTTAATATCGATCCTAGCACAGGATCGATACAACTGTCAGAATGCTTGGATTATAAGGTAATGTAAATATGGCAGCTTCTTGTCATTTAATGCATGATACAGTAAAGTACATGTTAACCAGGTATAAGGGGAGGGACAGTCTCACATCCAGCTTTGTGGTGGGAACTGCTTCTGAACTGAGTTTGTAAGTTCCTTCTTTCTGTTTTCCAGACTAGCAACTCTTTCAAACTTCTGATTAAAGCCAGCGACCGTGGAACTCCCCAGCTATCATCTACTGCAACAGTGAATGTAGCTGTTGAAGATGCAAACAACCACCTCCCTGTATTTACTAGTGATAATGTAAGGAAAAACATTACTACTTTACAGGGCCTTTCTAAACACAGTTCAGTCCTTCAAGCTGCTACGTACATTCAGCAGTGGAAATGGGAACCCTCAGACACTTACAGAATCAGGCCAAAATATGTACAAATGAGCTTTGGGTGTTAGAAGAACTATCTCTTAAAATAAATGTGGACAGTAAGAGAATGCTTGACAATTGACGGTGATAAACTGTTTTCTGTGTACAGCACTGGAAGGTTTTTGTCTCACTATCAGTATAAGGATGCTGACAGACTAGCTTGTTCTAACATCGGAGAAGCTAAGGTGCTGATTACAATCCACTCTTGAAAGATCTGAGTTTTGATCCATGACCCATTTCCTCAATGGCCCTAAACCTGCCTGCCTGCAAACTCAGTACATCTTAATGGGGCAATTTGGTGGGGTAGCAACGCTTCTGCTGGCATATTCTCTGAGGGTGCTGGTAGAACATTTGCTGTATGAATGGGAGCAACTGAGCTTGCTGGCATGAAGAGGGCTGTGAGGAGTTAAAAGCTGTGAACAAGTAGGCAGCTACACTTGAATTCAGATAAGAGCTATTTGTGTTCAGGCTCTGGTCCCATTTTGGCTCTGGTCCCATAAAGACTGTTTTTATAATTTGCAAATTGACACATTGTTGTGGTTTAACCCTGGCTGGCAGCTAAACAGCACACAGCCACTCGCTCACTCCCCACAGTGGGATGGGGGAGAGAACTGGAAAGGTAAAAGTGCAAAACTTGTGGGTTGAGATAAAGACAGTTTAATAGGTGAAGCAAAAGCCATATGTGCAAGCAAAGCAAGATAAGGAATTCATTCACCACTTCCCATTGACAGGCAGATGTTTAGCCATATCTAGGAAAGCAGGGCTCCATCACACATAATGGTTACTTGATAAGACAAATGCTGCAACCCAGAATGTCCTCCCATTCCTCCTTCTTGCCTGCAGCTTTTATTGCTGAGCATGATGCCATATAGTATGGAATATCCCTTTGGTCAGTTGGGGTCAGCTGTGCTGGCTGTGTCCCCTCCCAACTTCTTGTGTACCCCCAGCCTACTGACTGGCAGGGCACTGTTAGAAACAGAAAAAGACCTGGACGCTGTGTAAGCACTCTTCAGCAAGAACTAAAACATCCCTATGTGACCAACACTGTTTTCATCACAAATCCAAAACATAGCACCATGCAAGCTACTATGAAGAAATCAACTATCCCAGCCAAAACCAGTGCATGCATCCAGAGTGCATGTCATGCACTGGTATGTGTAAATATTTGAAGTTGTGAACAGTAAGAATAGATACTGGGTTACAACAGTGGGTACAAAGTCACCCATGAAAGCAAACACACTTACCAGTGCATTATTATGGTAGGTCTCCTACCTGCAGAATTGTGTTTGGAAGACCTGAGGGAATAGGGTTACATAACCTGCCAAAACAGGCTTATACAAGAAATCTGTGCTTCATCATCGTTAACTCCAGACTAGTAAAATTCCCGGCCTTCTCACAGCAGTGGTTTGTTCCCTCTGAGTACATGTATTATTCTTTACAGCATTTTTAGTATTTGTGGTGCAAGGACAGTATTTTTACATATTAGAAGGCAAGAATCTGAATTTTCAGATCTCAACCAGTGACTAATTTATATGAAGAAAATAGTCACAAATAACATTTTATTATCATCTTATCTTTTAAGTCATATTTTTTTCTCAGGTGATTTTACTGGCATTTCTTAGCCTGTCTTTGGAGTGTAAGTTAGGCAAGCTGGTGGCTACATTGCACCATCTTTCCTTTCTCCTCCCAGTACCAGCTGCAGATTTCAGCAGGTCAAGAACATCCAGCTGTATTACGGTTCCAAGTGGAAGATAAAGACTCTCCCAACACTCCAGCTTGGAGAGCAAAATACAGAGTAACAAAAGGCAATGAGAAGGAACAGTTCACCATTGAGACGGATCCAGACACAAATGAAGGCATTTTGAGTATTATCAAGGTAAGGAGCAGTAACAGATGAGCTGCAGCATGGCAATGAGTAGTGCAGCCAGTCTGATTACAAGACCAATAGCTTAGCACCTTGGCTGAGCTTGGTGAGCTCAGCTCACCTCTGAGTTCCAGGTATATAGAGATGACTGCCAAACCAAAGGTCATAACTGCTAATCAGACTTTTGTCTGGGATTTTCAGCCTCTCAACTACGAAGATGACTCTGAGATGAGACTTGTAATTTCTGTAGCAAATGAAGAACCTTTCTTCTTGTGTAAAAACGGCATTGTAATGATCTCAGACCTAGACTCCACGAATACAACTGTGAACATCAAGGTCTTACAGTCACAACATGCTCCTAGGTTTCATCCTCCTATACTTATTGTTCAAAAGGAAGTTTCAATGAAGCCTGGGAGAGTATTTAGAAGGTATCCTGCCACATATCCAGATGGTGTGCCAAATAAGATAAAGTAAGTGGAGATGCTTCTAATTCTCAGGGTAAGAAACAGCTTAGGAATATAAAGAGGTTTTCAAGTTTAATTTGGTATATATACATATGTGAACATGCATACACATATATATTTACAGTTATATGAACATATACATTAGAGGTGTACGTTTACTATTGTTGTGCTACTGTAGATTCAGATATCTGGTTCTGTAAGATATAATTTAAAGGTGCAATCAGTCCTTGGTTGCTCAACGCTTCTGTTGTCTTCAAAATAGTTTTGCCTAAAACCAGGTTGCATTATTTATATTTTACTTTTGATGACAAAATTTTGATGCCATAGAAAGGACTAAGGTATGCTTGGCTGTAAAAATGGTAATCTGATGTGGGAATTAGATACTTTCTTGTCCCCTAGGAACAGTTTTGATGGGCCTGCACAAGGTATGGGGACTTGCACGGGAGACTGTTTGTTGCCTGTGTTCAAACACATGGCTTGTCACAGAGTTAACAAAAGTAAGCATCACTAACAAATAAAAATACCTACAGAGCTCAAAAAGACAAAGAAAGAAGCAGTAGAAATTTTCCATTCTTCAAAATCCATTTAAGAAAATATGGCACGTGTAACTTTTTCCTTTCTTTTTAAGATATGAACTAGCCCATGACCCAGGTGGTTGGCTGAGTGTGGATGAGAATTCTGGAGTTCTTACTGTGGCAAAAGAATTTGATCTAGAATCTCCTTATGTGAACAACAGCCTCTATACCATCACTGTTCATGCTATTGGTCATGGTAAGTAGCCAGTCAGAAAATATTCAAGCAGTATTTGGACTGTTTGAGATGAGGTTCATGTTAGATACAAAATGATAGCAGGACTAAGGATCTAAGTGGAGAATGGAGTGCAGAATACCCAAATGTTTGAAACTTGTGTTATGTGTGACTAGTAGCATAAACCAGACAGAGATCCTGCCAATGGACTGGCTTTTGTCCATACCCCGTTATGAGTCTTTTTCTGTTTCTTTTGCTCCTGTCTAGGTATTCCACCACATACTGGTACTGGCACCATCCTGCTTTACTTGTCTGACATTAATGATCATATGCCAGCATTAGTGGCTCCTTCGTTAGATGTGTGTGACAAAAAAGAAGGGACTGCTCTCATTATAAAAGCTAAGTCTGCTCTGGTCCAGTCACATTCTGGGCCATTTACATTTGAGCTGGCTGAGGACTCTGAAGATGTGAAGCATAACTGGAAACTAGGAAGGAACTTTGGTGAGTTATTCCTTTCCTGTCCTTTGTAAGAATTTTATTGTCACTTACATGCCCTCTAGTTATTTCACTGTCTCTTTCCTTTATGGTTTGTTCCTGATTAGTCTCAATGAGACTGAAAGGACATGAAAGGACAGCTTTCAAAATATAGTTACTGCAATTTGAAAAAAAAGTTACAGTGTTCATCTCTGCTGAGGACAGGACCAGAAGCAATGTGCTCAAATTGCAGAAAGGAGGATGAGACAGCTGAGGAACTGCTTCTGCCTTTGATTAACTACCTAGTGAATATTAGAGGTTATCAGTGCAGCTATGTCAGAATGCAGCAAGACTGGGACAGATCTCTGCCCAGAAGGCTCAGCAAGGTGAAAAAGTGGGATGTCATTTTGTCCTATTTGCTACGGTGCATTAAGGCTGCAAAAAAGTATTTGAAAAAGAGGTGCAAATGAGTTTCCCTTTGATTATCATCAGAAGGGAGTGTAGAATGTCAGACTTCTTTTTATGAGTCTTGAAATAATTTGCTTGTCTTCTTTTTAGGGGAGTCAGTTGAACTTTTAATGTTAAGAAGCCTCCCACAAGGTAACTACTTGGTGCCCATCATTATTCAGGACAGGCAAGGATTTTCTACAAGGCAGAATCAGCATGTTAGGCTCTGCTTTTGCCCAGATGGACATACATGTAAAGATTCTCCACTTCCACAAGCAGCAGTGAGACTTGGAGGTGGTGCCATTGCAATAATACTGACAGCTTTCTTATTACTACTGGGTAAGTAACCTCCTAACTTATGCTTGCAAGTTATCTGTCATCTGCCCATTGGATCTCATTGCAACTGCAGCTCATGAACATGTGCTAAAATCTACCAGCCTTATTGGGAAAGACCATTTGCCTTAGTGTGTTAGAGTGTAGTCAAGGTGCAAGCAGTTAATACATGCACTCTTCATGGTGCTTCCATCCATGTGTCCTGGTCCATGACCTGTTCTCTCTTCAAATTTTAGGAAGACCTTAGTTTTGTGACATTGCCTTTTCCATCTAGTAACTGAAGAGATCTTTTTTGATAGCCAAGAAAACTTTCAAATGACTAGGCACTATGATACAATGTGTAGTGCAGAGCAAGGTGGTATCCAAGGCTTACACACAGGGTAAAAGACACTAGACAGATTAGTGAAACTTACCCACACTCATGGTTGGGATGTGAAAAAGTAAGGGCTGTGTATTATAGAGAAGTGAGTGTAGTGCAGAGCAAGGTGGTATCCAAGGCTGGTATCCAAGGTGGTATCCATCACAGGGTAAAAGACACTAGAAAGTTTAGTGAAACTTACCCACAGTCATGGTTGGGATGTGAAAAAGTGAGGGCTGTGTATTATAGAGAAGTGGCAAAGGGAAGACAACATGGAATACTGTTGTGTGAAAAACAATCAATACAAGTACGTAACCTAGGAAAAAAGAAAATACTTCAACTGAAAAAACTGAAATGTAATGCTAACAGCTGGAATTTTTCAGCTTGTTATTTGTGGAGGTAACAGCTTGGCTTTCTAAAGCAGGCTAACCATGCCAGGCCAAGCATTGCATCTGCACAGCTACATTGCTGGAGGTTTCCAAGTTAGCTCATTTGGAACTGGGCTGGGTACTTCACCAGCCTGCTGTACTGAGCCATACAGATCTATTCATAATGCCCATTTCACTGTTCCCTTTCTTGTTTCTATAGTTTCCAGTATTCTTCTTTGCCGGTTTTACATGCAGGGATCTAAAAGCAAAGCCATTGTTCCACCTCAAGAAGGTGAACAGACTTTAATGAACTATAATGAAGAGAGCAGAACGTCTTTATCTCAAGTAAGTGCAAAAGCATATATTCCCATTACCCCACCAGTGCTGTGTGGCTGAATCTAGTACTAGTCATCTCTTTTATTATGTTTCTTCTGGTTTTGGTATTGAGCAACATAAAGCTTTTTTGCCACTAAGTGTATCGGGGGAGAGGTGTTCTGCATGGATTGGATAATGAAGCTCTGGTGACAGACTATTATTACTCCTTCCATTTTTCAGTATCAGCAGGACCTTCCCAGGTGCCTCATCCTGCTGATGAATCCAACAGCTGAGGAGGCACATCATTTCTTGGCACACTGCACATACTGGTGTTTTCAACAAGGAAGTAAATGAAAGTGAAAAGGGGAATAGTCTGCAAAAAAGTGTGATCCTTCACAGCCTAGTTTAATTTCTTACTGATACCATCCCTCTCCCTATATGCAGGCTAAGCTGGATATTACAGATCATGCTGTTCTACCACCTGTATCCGTGGAGGCTGGAAAGGAAGAGATTGCTGAGGTAACTGCCTGTTTCCTTATGTAAATGCCCATTTTTATACCAGAGAAATTGGTAATCCCAAGAATGAGGCTTAGTATTAATAACAGTGGGAAGAATAATGCAGTGTAGTTCAATTAGGAAATAAGTGGCACTGGTTGGAGATTCTACTGCTGTTTAAAATACTGTTGACAACTTATGTTTTTCTAACAGCTTTCAGTTTGAAACTGGCACTTGCAAGTGTAATTTCTTCCAAAATTCTTGTCACATTACCTGAATTGATGTGCACAAGATTTTATTCAATTCTTGGTATAAATGAAATTGATAGATATCTGAAGAATGATGTTCAAAAACATGCTGATCAACATCTACTTAACACGTGTGGATAGTATTTATGAGTGTTTTTATGACTACAAGATATAATTCTGGGGGTCTGAAGGCTTTTGAGTTTTTTCTGTGGATTTCTGTACTGTATTCTCTAACAGATGTCTTATTTTTATTGTAAAGAATAGATAAAGGAAATTCTGGTCTACATCAGTAGGTGACTGCCATGTGTTCTATTCATAAGTACATAGTGATCACCAAGAGACTCTAAGAACAATCTTTGTCTTACAGCAGGCAAAGAAAATGTAAAATAGTCTTTTTTAAGTATGTGAGAACCCTACTCCACAACCCTTAAGACTATAGTTAGGAGCTAGGATTACATGTGTAAGTAGACATTATAAAGTTCTGAGGTCATGTTTGGTGCCATTAATGAAAAGGAATCCATTAAATTTATGGGAAGAAGTGTATTTCATTACTGGAGATTATGAAGAATGCCTGCAGTTGGTGACTTCATGGAGCATGTACTCATAAAAGGAAACAGTCCCTGAACAGAAAAAGCTGCAATGTAACTGGAGAAGACAGCATAAGAGAAATGGATGTAACAGAGAGAAAGATAGTTGGATTTATTTGTATCTGAAAGAAATGTTAGTAGGTGACTTTATGCTGGTCAAACCTGAGATCCTGTCTGTCTTCCAGGATGACCTGTACACTAGTTACGAGACGTTCCAAGTAAGACACCTTCATTGCATCATACAGACAGTGGACAAAATACTGGGTCAGGTAAGAAATTAATGTTGAATCCCTCCTTTGTCAGGTTGGCTTGTAAGTGTAGGAAAAAAGGCTTACAAAACTGGAAACCTGCTATGGCTTCAGCTACTCTCTCAGACCACATCTAGGAAAACATTACAATCAAAACCAAGGGATATATTTGATGGGGAAACATAGAAGACTTCCATGTTGAAAATACCTCCTAGACTTCTTGCTGCCTCTGGCTGATCACCCAGCAGTTACTGCAAAGCTAGGGTCTGTCACCTGTAACAAATTCTTCAAGACCAAGACATGGGGCTAAAATGCTTTCTGTTACTGTGCCAGGTGAAAGTTTGGTCACCTGCTCTTCTGTGCTAGCAGGGAAATCCTAGTTCCTCTTGCCATGTCCTATCTGGCCACTGCATGTTCACAGGTCTGTTGTCCATGCCTTCTTGGGCCACACTGCATGCCTCCACGCAGTCATGTTTGTTTCATAGCTTTTTGGTCCAGGAGAAATCAAGTGCTCCTTTCTGCCTCATTTGTACTCTATGGGAAGTTGAAACTCTGGTGCTTATGCAGCTCAGAGCTTCAGTAAAACTTTTCCTTATCAGAGAAAGACTTCTCTTCACGGTAACCTCCTGGCTTACCTACCTCATTTGCATACCATGAATTCCTTTCATTTCCGAAAGGGCAATGAGAGTTTCCATGATGATTTGCATTGTTTCTTCTCTTCTTTAGAAACTATATTACCAAAACACACTGGAAGATTATGGAGACATCTATGAACCTTACAGATATGCCGAGGAAGGAGAATTAGAGCGAAGTAACTCCTTCTGCTCTCTCTCCATTGACAGTGAGGATTTGCCTGTTGATTTTTTGAACACTCTGGGACCAAAGTTTTCTGCTCTGGAAGAAATCTGTCAGAAGCAATTTCCATCATTCAATTAATTTCAGAAGGCTGTGACTACTTGATGGTGTTGTAAAGGCTTCTGGCAGAAGCACTGACAAATTCAGAAAAAAAGAGCCATCTGCACTAGAAAGCATTGCAGTATGTTTGCACCATGAGTACCTGGCCTTTTATTTTTCCTGCCTACACTGTTTGCACGCCTGCAGCCAAGAATGTGATGTGTCTGGAAGGTCAACTCTACTCTGAAGAGATGATGGAATGATTTTGGCATATTCTGTGCAGACTTACACAAACAGAAGATCTCATACTAAGGATTGTCAATTTAGCATGCAAAGGAAAAAAAAAACCAGATCTACTGGGATAGAAATTCCAGTCAAAATTCCATGTGGAAATAAGCCAGTTTTGAACAGAGAAGGCAATTACCAGCTAGGCCAGTATGTGGTCTCTTTAAATCCAAGATTAATGGCCTTTAATGATGGCCTTTCAATACTGAAATGGGGCCTGCAAGGAAGATGGGGACAAACTTCTAGCAGGGCCTGTTGTGATAGCACAAGGGGTGTTGGTTTTAAACTAAAAGAGGGTGGATTTAGATTAGATATAAGGAAGATATTTTTTAAAATGAAAGTGTTGAAACACTGGCACAGGTTGCCCAGAGATGTGGTAGAAGCCCCATCTCTGGAAACATTCAAGGTCAGGTTGGATGGGGCTCTGAGCAATCTGATCTGGTTGAAGATGTCCCTGCTCACTGCAGGGGGGTTGGACTAGATCACCTTTAAAGTTCTTTTCCACCCAAACTATTCTGTGATTCTGTGCTTAACTTTAGTACGGTGCCATGCGGCTCTGACTTGATGATCAGAACTTTTATTTTTATAGGACACTGAAAAATCTAAAAGAAAGTGCACTTCTACTCTTAGTGTGACTGTGACCGCAGAGTGACCTGAGAGGTCTGCACCATACTTGCCTTTTAGCTTAAAACAGGCACTTATGTACTGCCTGTTTGCTTATGCTGGCATCTGGTGGCTCTTAGTATTATTACACTATTGTACATGGTAGGGAATTACCAGAGGACAAGTTATAGTTATTCCTTTCATTTAAATAACTGCTTGCTCTAAATTAGCTACAGGTCACTGTGATAAAGAAATTAATGGGTTACCTCAAACACTGTTAATAAAACAGATGACATGATAAGGAAAGGATGGTATCAAATTTCCCCATATGGAAACCACAGATGTGTTACTTTTAAATTTTGAGGTTTGTACACATCTGAATTTGTGCAGTTGACCTATACTCAGTTATAGCATGATGGATTTCTGTGTTACAATCCATGAATGAGGAAAGACTATCTCAGAAGATAGTATTCTGCCATTAAGTAAGTTATACAGGCAATAAGAGATGTAATTAGTCACAAATTTTACTTCTGTTCTATTACAATTTTGTGCTAAAAGAAAAATGCTTTGCCTAAGGCAAGCACTACGTCTGTATCTAGAGAACTGTTCTTCTGTTTCAAAGTTTACTTAAACAATAAGTTATGCATTTGCTCAGATATTATTAACTAATAATTCAAGGTTGGAAACTTCAGTCAAGTGTGATAAAAAAATTTGGCTGAGTGGCAGGCAGCTAAATTACCAGCAGCAGGATCTGTTTACACAATAAATCACTACTCTGATAAATGGTCCTTAACTCATAATTCCAGACAGAAGACTTCAAATCAGGCCAGTAATTTAGCAGCATTGCTAATAACCAGAAAGTCTTTTTATTGCAAACTATAAGCAGTAAGATTAGAATTGTGCTGTGTTTTGCTATTTCTTCTGAAAATTATGCAAGATTAAAAATAATAGGGGAAGTATTCTGTGTATTTCTTGTTCAGGTAAACTTGTGTTGGGTCTATAGCACACCATGCTTACAAACACCAAAACTTTAGATGTGATCAAACACACAGTTGCTACTGCTAGAATAAATTATCTCTCTCTTGAATGAAAAAAAAAGAAAAAGAACTGTTAAAATGAAAAACTATGAAAGGTTTTGGGCTTCAAAACTGCTGTTACCCCATCTCCACTGAGGGTGACAGCAAACCATCAGATTCCCAGGCACTGAGGGAGCTTTCAAATATTCACCTGAAGGTCGATGTGGGGTCCCTGCCTGACACGTACCCCTTTCTCCACCAGTGCCTGGCAGCAAACCTGGGCCAAGGGACTGGACCTTTAGTCAAGGCCACTTGCCATACTTCTTCCCAAGGCCTCTCTGCTTGTGCATCATGCTTCCTCACGAAGCCAGGCAGACAGCTCCTGCATGGCCCACAGAACCACACAGAAATAGCCATCGCTCAGGGGACAACGCCAGGGCTGGTGTCAGAGGAGTGCTGGCTGTGCAAACTCAAGTGTACATTATCGATGGCCTCAGCTTATGCTTTGCTTGTACCTAATGGCAGAGGGAGTGTGTGAAGCCTCTGGTTTGTTCTGGGTCTGCTTTAAACTAAGCACCTTCGTGGCTTGCTGTTTTGTAAATGCTGGTGATGGGCTCTAGTGTTTCAATTACCTGTTCACAGTGAGAGGTCTAATCATGATGCCTGTGAATCCCCATTACTTCTGGCCCCTGCTGTGCCCAAGTCAGTGGGAGTCCCAGCAGCACAAATGTTTATCTCCGCACAGTCTTCATCTCTGTCTTTGTTTTGCCTCATTTATAAAAATCTTACTTAAAAGTAAATGACACACAATCAGTAAAGGGGAAATTAATCACACCGGAACCAAACTTCTGACACTGAGTTTTAAAGGAAACAAGAAAGACTGATCACAGGATGGTCCTACACAGAGTGGATGTCAGCACATTAACAATAAAACCTTTTTGTCTCAGACAGAAAGTGTTTCCCTTGTCTGCTATTTCTTCTACACTGCTGAGCAATGGCAGATCCCCTGGGATCTTTAGGCTGCCACAGAAGGAGTATAAGTTTTAATCAAATCTTTCTGTGCCAGTTTGGGGTCATTTTCTCCCTTCTGAAGGATCCATTTGTCCTTATTAAGGTATTACAAGAAGTCATTTAAAGGAGAAATAAATGACAAGAGATTTTATAAGTGAAAGGTAAACCCTGTGCTGAGTGGGCTATAATTAGTTCCATCTATTAGTGCCTTAGGTGGTATTGTATTTCACAGTCCTAATAATTAAACACCTAGTAACAGTGTGTTGGATTAGTGTTTCAAAAGAACTCATAGGCCAAGCTGGGGACTTCTCTCAAGGTTTTCTGAGAGCAAGCAGGGAACAGATGTTGTAGCACTTGTAGTAGGGGCAAAGTTTCTCTACTCAGATCAAGAGCTACTATCACCTTCAAAGAAACTGAAAATGGGCTTTTTCTTAGCACATGCTGGTGCTCAAGACTGAGAATAATGGAAGAATTATGCCATTCCAATGTGTCTTTCCATGTCAGCCTGTAATTGCACTCGGGTGGGAAAGCTGGTGATTGAGGAAAGGCAAGGGAAGACACATGGAGGGCAGACACAGGCAAGCAGATGCTATATCATCCCTTCCCTGTGCCATTTCTGCTTTTCACACTCACAGTATTTCACACTTTTCAAAAGTGATGAGAAGTCTTCAAAATGGAAACCTCTACTCCGCTGCGCTAACCCTGTTAGTGAAACATGGCACATTGACCTGGATCTGACCAGGGTATTTCTTGATGTCTGGATTAATATAATTCACAATGTCTACTATAATTACTTAATTCTATCCTGAATGCACATTTCTTCAGGACTGGCACATTTCTCAAGAAACAGAAGACACTTGAAAAGCCTGAATATTTAATATTTCAGATGCCCATTTTGTTTTGCTTAACACTTGTGGTAAGGGTCTACTATTTCCACTTATCCTGTGTGGTGTGAACTGAAACTCAAACTCACAAAACACGTTTTACTCAGAAGGATAAATCTCTACATTTCTTCTGCTCTGCCTGTGATACCTCCTTCCTGCTTAGGATGCTGCAGTAAACCCCAATTTGCAAGATGACCATTCTATACTATGCAAAATGAAGCAAACCACACCTACAGAAGACAGTGGAGGCCCTTCAGCCTTCTTCCTTGTGCCCTAGACAGATCTAATTGCCCAATGTGAGATTTGCAAGTGTAATTAAATGAATAAAAAGAATAGCATAGCTACAATTTCCAGAAACCCATACAACATCATCTGCTCTTTGCAGGTTCTAGCACTTGCATCAGAATAGTAACGGAGTGTCACACAGCACAGTTATCTCCAGTAACATATTATGCAACTTGACTAACATCTATTCCTTCTTTCTGATTATCCCCAAGAGGTGAACACCAGGTCTTTTGAGAAAATGGGGCTCTCATTAGTAAAATACCAGTAAAAAAAGAGTATTTTTTCATAAAACATAACTTCACTAAATATATCAATATTGCTGGGGTGACACTTACAAAACAAAAATCTTTTTTGTACAATCTACTGATTATTCATAACAGCTGAATATGATACGTTATCAATAATTCAGCACTTTTTGTTTTTTTCTAAATTCTATAAAATAAGAAAGAAAATTACTTCAGGGATTCAATTAGCAAATTATTTCAAGGCACTGATAATTATTAATACTTCTTGATAGAGGCTTTTCCTGTTCTGTAATTATCCAGAAGACAGTTCTGTAATTATCCAGAAGATGGCATAAGTAGGCCAGTTACTGACCTTCCAGTAGCAAGAAGTAAAACTAAGGAAGGCTCACTAATACTGTGCTTCAAAACAAATCTACTTATAAATATGTATATTTTGATATGCTCAGTGGAGAGGAGTTGTCTTTCTTAAGACATAACCCTTTCCTCATAAGCATCATGCAAGGGAAGTACTACTTAGTAGCTACACAACAGTACTGAGAAAAAGGAATGTGAGGAGGCTGATATGAAAGTCTGAAACAGATAGTTATGTGTTTTCTTTTTGCATTAGGTTATGTCCATTATATAGAAATCTTTCTATTTGTCCACTATTTCTTTCAATGAAGAGACAGCAATAATGACTGTCAAGAAAGATATCTATGTATTTTTGTATCTGT